GTTCTCTAGAAGTAAGAATGCTGGACAAATCCCAGGCCTGCAGGTGCAGCTTCAGATGATATCTTTTGTGGATATATTTGCATTTTCAATAAGGAAAGTGATCTTCGGGTCCAGCTACGGTGTGCCTCGCACATTTCCCTATGGAAATTGTGTTTCTGTCCCTGATGTACTATCTCTTTCCCTAAAATAAAAGCAAGGATACAGTCTACTGCAGACCTCACATTATATTCCCTTCTAACTTCTGCCTCATCGTTCTTTCCTGAAGAGTGGCCTATATTCTGTTGTCTCCATATCTTTACCTCCTATTTTCTTTTGAATCCACCCAGGCTTTCATCAGCACCAGATCCACCAGGACCACACGGATCTGGCCACCCATGACCTCCACACTATTTAACCCAATTCTCTGGAATTTGGGGCTCCCTCCTTGTAGCACAGTATTTTCAATTCTAGGTTTTATTGTTATTTAGCTATGGTGAGGCCAACAAATCAGGAAATAGCTGTCATTGAAAAAAAAAATTGTATTCTCTTTCCCAAGAGAAAGGAACATGTTACACCACAGGGGACCACCCAGGGAAGCATCAGGGTCACATGGGGGCCGAGGGAGAAGGGGAAATGTGGACAGGAGACTTTATTGTGGTTTTCACAGGCAGGAATGGGATAGGCAGGCTTAGAATTGGCTATTTTGAATAATTTCAGTAGGCTCTGAGGCATAGGGTCTGTCCCTTGTCCTCTGGTACCTGGCCCTGGAGTGATTAGTGCAGATAAGTAGTGACAGAGTGTGTAAGAACCAAGTTTTTTTTTGTTTGTTTGTTTTTGTTTGTTTGTTTTTAAAGCTTTTAGAAACTGCCAAAGGTCTTAGCCAAAGGTGGTTTGGGGTTCTGGATTGGTTGGTGTGCATTTGAAAGATGAACTTCTTTGTGAGAAATTGGTTAATTCTAGGAGGGGCAGTCCTCCCAGAATTATCAAGGCCCCAGATGTCAAAGCATTAGAACATAGAAAGGAAAATATATTGCTAATTTGTCTTTTTTCTTCTACTCTCAACCCTCTTTTGCTAGTAGCTTCCTCTCAAGGATTGATCAATGTTGAAATGCCCCACATCTCAGTCCTTGGACACTCTCTTCTCCCTATCTTTCTTTAGGGGAAGCCATGCATCCTCATGGCTTTAAGTAACACTTATATTTTGATGACTCTCAAATTTATATCTCTACCCATAAACTCTAGACCACCTATTACCCAACTGCCTACTAAACATCTTCACTTGGATGTCTAAGAGGCATCTCAAACCAAATATATTTCAAATATATTCCAAGCATATTCTAATCTTGATTTCTGCTTCCTAATCTGTTACTCTGTCTTCTCCATTTCAATAAATAGCACCTGTATTTGCCCTAGTGACTCAAGCCCTAAACCTATAAATTTTACTAGATTTTTCTATTTTTGTCATCCTGTGAGAAATTTCCATCAGGTCTTTTTTGAAAGTTTAGATGACAAATGGAAAGACATTATATGTTGTCCATGGATTGGAAGACAATATTATTAGATGGCTATATATTCTGATAAATATATAGATATAGTACAGTTACTATCAAAATTTCAGATGTGTGCTTGTGTGTGTGTATAAGCAGATTTTAAAATTCACATGGAAATGCAAGAGAGCCAAAAGAGTTCCCCTGCCAAACACACACACACACACAGAGACATCTGCAAAATCTTGAAAAAGAGCAAAGTTGGAGTACTCACATTTTCTGATCTCAAAACCTACCACAGAACTATTGTAATCAAGTCTCTGGTACTGACATAAAATAAACATAGCTCAATGAAATAGACTTGAGAGTCCAGAAATAAACCCATACACCCATAGACGATTGGATTTTGGTTAGGGGGCCAAGACAATCATTAAAGAAACAATAATCTTTTAAACAAATTGTGCAGGGGCAATTGGATGTCCACATGCAAAATAAGGAATCTGAAGCCTTGCCTCATACAAAAATGCATCAAAGACCTAAATATAAGAAGAAAAGTGATAAAATTCTCAGGAGGAAACAGATGTAAATCTTTTTTTTTTTTTTTTTTTTTTTTTTTTACCTTGGATTAGGTCGTGGTTTCTTATATAAGACACCTACAGCACAGGCAATAAAAGACAAAACAGATAAATCCATTTTATCAAAATGAATTATTTTTTAAATTAAATTAAAACATTTGTGCTTCAGAGAACCTATCAAGAAGCTGAAAGATAATTTGCAGACTTGGAGAAAATATCTGTTAACCATGTATTTGATAAACAACTTGGCAGTTTCTCAAAAAGCTAAACATGGAATTACCATTTAACCAAGCAACTCCTACATATATACACACCCAAGAGAACTGAAAACATGTCTACACTAAAACTTATATATAAATAGTCATAGAATTATTCAGAATAGCCAACAAGTGGAAACAACCCAAATGTCCATCAACTGATGAATGGATAAACAAGATGTGGTGGTATAGTCATACAATAGAATATTATTCAGATATAAAAAGGAATGAAGTACTGATATGTGCTACAACTTAAGTGAATCTTGAAAATATGCCTGGTGAAAGAAGCTAGACATAAAAGGCCACATATTATATGATTACATTTGTATGAAATATCCACAATAAGCAAATTTATAGAGACAGAAAGTGGTTGCCAAGGGCTGGAGGGAAAAAGAAGGGGAATTGGGGAGTTTCTTCTAACGGATATGGGGGTTCCTTTTTGGGATTATGAAAATGATCTAAAATTAGTGGTATAGGTTGCACAATTCTGTGAATATATTAAAAACCACTGAATTGTACCACTGAATCATCTATGTTTTATATGTATAAATGTGTATAAGTATATAGTAGAGGTCCGATGCACAAATTCATGCAAAAGTAGGCCTTCCTTCCCGTGGCTGCTGGCACCGGTTTCCCTCCGGCATCTGGGGCCCATGCTTCCCTCACAGCCTGGGCTTCCCTCAAACCCCTGTCTTCGTCCCAAAGGACATCCCGTCTGATTAGCATGTTACCCTTTTATTATTATAGATATGCAGGCACAAACATAAAAATACACTTACACATATAATTCTCTATTATATGTCAATTACACTTTAATAAAGATATTGAAAAATTAATAAATTTAAAGGACAAAGTAAATATAAGTATATATACTAACTTTCAATAAGAACCATTTCTCACCTCCACTGGCCCCCACAACTCTAATCCAAACTATCATCACTTCTGCAAAAATATTCCTCACTGATCACCCTGCCCTGTCTCCTTCCCAACAATAATCTATTATCTACATCAAGCATGTCAAACTCATGGCCCACAGGCTGCATACAGCCCACAAGGAATATTTTTACAGCCCAGCCAATATAATGGTATGTAAGAAACGTTTTAATAAAAATTTCATAACTTAATTTTTACATTATCCTGTTATAAATAATTATTAATAACGAACTACAACATTCAATGATGACTGATTACAATAATCATATTGCATTCACTTTCCTTATGAGCCCACTCTCTATTTCTCTCCACTAATACTAGCAGCAAATATTTTAGCAGCCATTTGCCACACCATTAGTCTTGTACTGACTTGTTTGGTGTGTGCAACAGGAAATATTTTGCTTTTAGAGAACAAGAAAATAGGTTTATTTACGTTACACTTATTAATTTGTGCAGTTATTCAGTGTCTGGTAACTTAATGTTCAAGAAAAAAATATTAATTTTCATTAAAATGTTCTATTATTTTATGTTTCTATGAAAATTAAAGCTTTTGTTTTTTTGTGGCCCACATAAACTTAAAACTTGTTTATTTGGCCTGTGTTAGCCTTTGAGTTTGACATGCTGGATCTACACCAAAGCTGGGTCCTCTTTTGAAAGTGTAAATGAGATCATGTCATTCTGATGCAAATCCTCCACTGGCTTCTCCATTGTATGCAGAGCTGCTCTGCTTCTAACCTGATTTACATGTATGGCTCTAATGTATTTCCCCCGAAGAAATGGTTCCATGGCTCATACAATGTTGACAGCTTCTTGGAGGCCAAACTAGCTGACAGTCATGTGTCCTGTCCCTTTTTGCCTTCAACCATGAAAAGTCTTTGGATGGGGAGAAAAAAAACCCTTAAGCAAAGGTAGAAGCGTAAGAGGTGAAACAGGACAAAGGTTAGGAACACAATCAATAGAGCCATTTCTCTGCTCTCCCTATCTAAACCTCTTAATAAGAGGTCATCCACGTGATGGGAAAACTCATTCACAGCATTCAAAAGAGCTTGACTGCTTTACCTGCTCAGTGAAATATTTATTGATAATCTAATTCTGTGCTCCTGAGCACTAAAGGTGCCTGACACCCAGAGTTCTGGTCCAGCTGGTTTATTTATGTGACAAGCAAAATTTGGTTTTCAAGGGCCTACTCCAGAATCTATGGAAGGCCCTGTGGGAGAAACAAAGAGATAACCACCAGTGTGGGTTAAGTCAGAGGACTGCCTCCTAATCAGAAGTCCGTTAGAAAAGGAGGAAGAGATTCTAATCTGTATTGATAAAGGGGCCCTCGCTTCCTCTTACCCTATCTTCCCTCTCTCAGAAGCCCGAGACTTCCCTTCCCAGCTTCACTCTGCCATGGCCCACTTAGAGATTTGTTTATGAGTCCTGGCTGATGTGGCTCAGTTAGTTGAACATCCAGTGCACCCAGGGGTTGTTGGTATGATTTCTCGGTCAGGGCATGTACTGGGTTGCAGCTCAGTCCCCTGTGGTGGTGGGCTAGCAGGAGGCAGCCAGTTCCTATTTTCCTCTCACATCGATCTTTCTCTCTCCCTCTTCCTCTTCTCTCCCTAAAATCTATAAAAATATTTTTTAAAAATATTTGTTTATAAGTCATTTCCTTATTTTCAGGAGTGAACAAGTCATCAAGTCATGAGACCAGCAAAAACTACAGAAAGCAAAACTTCAGAAGGGCCTGAGACTTTCAATTGTCTGTTTCAGATCCGGTAGAGAACATGTTCCTCCTCCTGCTAATTTTGAGCCTGGGAGTACAGCTTCACCGGAGCAGAGGTAAGACAGACGAAGGGAGGGGCCTGATAAAGAGGAGCAGGTGGTGGCCCCTAGCTGAAGCCAACGATGGCAGTGTGGTCCTCAGGCTAAAGGCTTCCTTTTGAGGGGAAGAGTGATAACTGGCTGTTATAGGCACAGCAAAAGAATGGTGGCTTGTGCATACCCATGTTCCAGTCTTACAAAAGCAGGGACTGAGAATATTGGTTCATCCAGTCCCACTGTGCAATGAAGGTGGTGACAAGAAGAGAGAACGTCTCAGACCGTTCACCTCAGAACTGATACAAGAGGGCATTGTTTGTTTGTCCTGAAAGGAGAGGTGCCGGCCAGCTGTCCCCTTCTTTTCTGACAGGGAGAGGGAGGAGACAAAGATCAGGGGGACACCTGAAGGACTCCGTTACTTTAAAGCGTCTCTTGTAGACATCCTGCTGATTATTAAATATTTATTTCAGTTCCTCTTTTAAAATTGTTCATTCAAATGCTAATAGAGAATTACTTGAATTGGAAAATCAGAGTTTTCCTAATGTTTAAGTGAATAATGAACCTTAATGTGATGCCTTTGGATATTGAAGAAAGGAGTTCTTCCAGTAGGTGTGGATGCTCACAAGTTTTTTTTCCTATCTAAAGTACTTTTTGTGGTTGAAGGCAAAAAGCAGTTTCACAGTTTGTGGCTCTCCTAGGAAAGTTAGTTAGACCCTTTGTGTGTGCAGTGAGGATAATGAGTATGCTATTTTGGGTGAACACCAGGAGGTAAGAGAGGAAGACAGAAGTGGGCGCAGGGGTTTAGGCCCTCAATGATAGCAGCCCCAGTCCTTGGGAAGTCCTCCCACATTCTGCCTTTGATTGAAAAAGAATGGCTTCTTTGGCACTGATAACCTTTTGTAGAGCTTTCTCCTACCTTCCAAGTGATCCCAAGCTGCTATTTACTCAGTTACATTCCTCTTCCTTCCTTGGGCTGGACAGCCTGGTCTGGTAGGGGCCATCCGTGGAGAACACCCCAATATGCTGCTTACTCCAGACCTGCCATATAGAGCCAGCTGAAGAAACACATCCTGTTTCCTTTCTAAGGCACCCTCAGATTTTAGAGACATATGAAAGGCAAAGATGCCTCCTTGCTACCATAGAACTTTAAATTTCCAACCTATATAATAAAAGCCTAGTATGCTAAGTGTCCAGTAGTCCATTCAACCAATCAAAGCATAATATGCTAATGATATGCTAAGGCCACTCAACCGCTTGCTATGAGGTGCACTGACCATCAGGGGGCAGATGCTCTGACTGGCAGGTGAGCTTGTTGCTAGGGTTCAGCTGATTGGGACTGAACAAGATGGGCCGAACATGCCCTGGAGTCCTCCCACGGTTCCTCCCCAGCTGGCCAACCTCCGCATCCCTCCCTGGCCCCGATCGTGCACGGGTGGGGTCGCTCAGTCTGGCCTGTGCTCTCTCACAATTCAGGACCCCTAGGGGATGTTGGAGAGCTGGTTTTGGCCCGATCCTGCAGGCCAGGCCTCAGGACCCTACTGGTACACGAATTCATTCACCAGGCCTCTAGTAAAGTAATAAGAAAATCAAAGATCAAAAGAAGATTCTAAAGCTGATGTACCCCATCCCCTGTTAGGACTGGAATCTCCAGGAGAAACCCTGGGAATTGTGCAACTTCTGCAGGTTTGCAGCTTAGAAAAATTGAGACCTTTTTTTGTGTGAGTTTTTGTTGTTGTTGTTTTAAATTTTCTTTTAAGAAAAGAGTAAGCTTGGATAACTCTTACTGAATCTTTCTCCAGTGGTAGTACCTATCTTTCTAAGATAAGTAGCACAAGGAAATGAAAGTAGGTTCTAACAATTAGGGATACTAATAGGGCATAGGGAAGAGAATACTGTTTATTTATTGAGGACATTGAATGCCAAATAACTGTACTAGGAAATTTATATATCTTATCTTATTATATCTTCACAATAACCATTTGGTAGATGAGGAAACTAGGATTCAGAAAAGTTATTTAATTTACCAAAGCTACTGTTATTTCTACCTTACTGGGCTACAATGATGGTGAGCAAGTACTGCAGACAATGCCTAACCCACACACTCTGGATGGATTGGATTTTTGGAATTAAGTTTGATTATGGGCACATATTAAACATTTACTCTGGACATTCACAAAACCAAAAAATATGTATGCATTTTTATGAATTAACCAAGAGGAAGCTATATATACATATTGTATCTTGCTTTTTGTACAAACTTGGAATTTTTCTCTGCTTTCCATTATATATTTATGCAGATAATATTAGTTCAAACAAACATTAAATATCTGCCTAAAATTAGAATGCTTACTTCTCAGGTTTGTTTTTAAGTTTTGATATTTCACGTCTCCCTTAATTAAAGAATTTCTCATAGAGGCTACCTGAGAAAGAAAGGGAAACACACACACACACACACACACACACACACACACAGAGGACTGATTAGATTACTACTTCCGGAGAGCATATGAGGTCTATGATGAGGGTGAAAAGGGAAGTTTTATTTATTATGTTTACCAGCTTGTTGTTATTGTTTGCATTTACTTGTATAATAAAATAAATCTACAAGAGGATTGGTTGTATAATCTACACTAATAAAAGACAAACATGCAAATTGACCGTATCTGTGCTATTCCCACAAGCCACACCAACCAGTCAATCAGGAGTGAATATGCAAATTAATGCAACCAAGATGGCTGCAGCCACAGAGCTGGAATGACCAGGAGGCTTGGGTTGCCCTGGCGATGGAGGAAGCCAAGCTTCCTGCCCTTCTTGGCTGGCCCTGACCTCCACCCAAGGCTACAAAGTTTCAATTATTAAAGATAAATAAATCTCAGATACTTGCTTCCAGCCGACCCTGGCTTCTGCTCTAGGAGGCACTGGAAAAAAAAAAAAAAAAAAAAAAGGAAGGAAAGAAAGAAAGAAAGAAAGAAAGAAAGAAAGAAAGAAAGAAAGAAAGAAAGAAAGAAAGAAAGAAAGAAAGAAAGGAGGGGCTGGAAGCTTGGGTCGCCAGGGGGTGATCAGGCCAGGATGGGATGGCAGTTGTGGGTGATCAGGCTGGTGGGGGGTGGGGCCATTGGAGGTAAGCAGACCAGCAGGGGGCCAGGTAGAAGTGAGCAGGACAGCAGGGGGGGGGCAATTTGGAGTGAACAGGCCAGTAGGGGGGCAGTTGGGGGCGAGCAGGCCAGTGGGGAGGTAAGTTGGGGGCTAACAGGCCAGCAGGGGGGGCAGTCGGGGGTGAGCAGTCTGGCACGGGGGGGTGGGGCAGTTGGGGATGATCAGGCTGGCACGGGAGGGCAGTTGGGGGCGAGCAAGCCAGCAGGCAGAATTGTTAGGGGAAATCAGGCAGGCAGGCAGGCAGGCAGGTGAAAGGCTAGAGCTCACAGTCCCTGATTATGAAGGGGATATCTGACTGCCGGTTTAGGCTCGATCCCTGTAAACTGGCAGTAGTACATCCTTCAAGGGTTCTCAGATTGGAGAGGGTGCAGGCCAGGCTGAGGAACAAAACCCTCCCACCCCTGTGCATGAATTTCGTGCACTGGGCCACTAGTTAAAGTATAATTATTAAAATATAGGAATCCTTTAAAATCACACGAGAGCAGGTAGGCCATGGAATTCAGTCCCCAGAGAACCCTGGCTATCAGGGAGGTCTGACGGATGACTTCTTCCCTGCCCTCATTGCCCTGTGCATCCATAGACCCACACTCTCACCAAAATGGGGAAAAAATAGATATATGAATTGGATCAATATAATTTTGTGTTACCTTGTCTGTTTAAATTTCTACTCTGAAACTTTAAAAATAATATTTATTACAGTGTTGTTAGTCATTAAAAAACCACCTAATGCCCATCAACAGGAGAATGCATTTCCATCAGCAAAGTATTAGCGTTCCAATTATTCCACATCCTTCTCAATACGTGGTATTGACATTATCATTTTCTTTTTTTAAGTCATTCTAAAAGGTGTGTGGAAGTATCTCATTTGCTCTTAATTTGCATGTCCCTAATATGTAGTGATGATAAGCAAAGTTTTATATGCTATGGCCATTCATATATCTTGTTTGGTGAAGTATGTATTCAAATTATTTGACCAATTTTAATTGGATTGTTTGGTGTTTTTTTAAAAATATATTTTATTGATTTTTTACAGAGAGGAAGGGAGAGAGATAGAGAGCTAGGAACATCAATGAGAGAGAAACATTGACCAGCTGCCCCTTGCACACCCCACACCGGGGATGTGCCCACAACCAATGTACATGCCCTTGACCGGAATCGAACCTGGGACCTTTCAGTCTGCAGATGGACGCTCTACCACTGAGCCAAACCAGCTTCGGTGGGTTGTTTGTTTTCTTATTGTTAAGGGTTTTTTTTTTGTTTGTTTGTTTTGTTTTGTTTAAATATGTTTTCATTGATTTCAGAGAGGAAAGGGGGGAGAGAGAGAGAGAGAGAGAGAGAGAGAGAGAGAGAGAGAGAGAGGCAGACAGACATCAATGATGAGAGAATTCTTGATCGGCTGCCTCCTGCACGCCCCCCACTGGAAATCAAGCCTGAAACCCAGTCTTGTGGCCTGATCAGGAATTGAACCATGTCATCCTAGTTCATGGTTGATTCCCAACCACTGAGCAACACTGGCTGTGCTTTAATTTTTTCTATTTTTTACTAGAGGTCTGGTGCATGAATTTGTGCACTGGTGGGGATCGGGCTGAAACTGCCTCTCTATATCCCTCAAGGGATCCTGGATTGTGAGAGGGCACAGGCCAGGCCAAGGGACCCCACTGATGCATGATTGGGGTTGGGGAGGGACTGCAGAGGAGGGCTCCAGGGCATGACTGGCCTGTCTCACCCAGTCCCTATTGGCTGGACCCCAGCAGCAAGCTAACCTACCAGTCAGAGTGTCTATCCCCTGGTGGTCAGTGTGCATCATAGGCGACTGATCAAATAGTCAAACAGAGGGATACTTAGTATATTAGCCATATATATATATATATATATATATATATATATATATATATATAAACCTAACAATATCTTATAACTCATCTTGTAATACATTTAAGAAAGGTATTTACTTTTATCTTTTGTCATGTCTTGGAAGAAAAAAGTAATCTAAATTTTACTCTTTTCATTGATGTTTCTTTCTTTCTTCATCCTCCAGAGAAAGATAAAACTAGGAGGGCACATGACCATGGTGATGTTTGATGTCACCCGGGTCACTCCACTTATTCTATCTTCCTTCTCCAAAACTACTTCTGTTGACCCCTGAGGCATACAACACAGAAGAATCAGGTTGGGGGATGGATTTCTAAGATGTCTCCATGCAGAGTTCCTATACAAAGGAGTGCAGGAGTCAGCTGCCCAGAGCAGGCTTTTATCTTGAACCAAAAATTAGAGTTCTCTGAAAACTGTGGCTTTTCTTAAGCAGCCCCCAACTTATAAGCACATTAGGTAGAAAGTAGGAACAAGTCTAAGGTTCTCTTATCAAATAGAAAAAAAAGAGTATAAAATTAGCTTAAAGAGGAAGCTATCTTGAGAGGCAATGCAAATGATTTATTTTGTGTTTACTGGAGATGTGACAGGTGCTGGCTCCCATTGATTCCTGATTGCAAATAAAATGTAAAGTTACCTCAAGAACTTTCAAAAAGACTCCAGCACTATAAGTGCACCCTAATTGTATGCAGGTTGAACTGGATTATATAGTTTTTTTATCTTTTGTAAAATGTAGATTCAGTGGTTCAATATATTATTAAAGTATGTGTACATTATATAAAATTTTTCAAAGGCTCCAGCATTAGTCAAGGAAACTGCTTTAATTTGCCTAAAAAACCTGCACGTATGAGTTTTTCATGCCCTGGCCAACTCCTTTACCCTTTAACTTAGTTAAGGGCCCCAAATAATGGCAAAAGCCTGTCTTATTAGCTTAATTTTGTAGTCATGGAAATTTTCTAATTTTCTCCTTTGTCTGATAACTTCAGGAATGCAATGCTAAGCTGAAGATTAATTTAATAACTACAAGGTGTATAAAATATAAAACAAATGTATTTTTTTTAGTACAAAGATAAAAAAATTTCTGTTTTATTCATGGATGTAGTATATACATGCCAGTGGGTATATAGTCATATCTGTAAAGTTGTTAGGAGTATAAGTTTTCAAGTCACAGATATATAAATTTGAATTCCAACTCCATGACCTTGCTCAAGTGTATTACTTCTTTAAGCCTCAGTTTCCCCAACTATAAAATGGGAGCAGTAACTCCTACCTTGCAAGATTTAGGAAACATCAAATGAGATGATGATGTAAAGGTAGCCCAGTGTCTGGCTCATTGTGTTTAATAAATATTAACTATTATTCTACTTCCCATTAAAAGTCCCAATGCATACCAGAGCTTTAACTCAACTCAAATGTTAATGTGCATGTGAATCACGCCATCAATGCTAAGATGCAGATTCTGCTTCTCTAGGTCTGTGGCAGGCCCTGACATTCTGCATTCCTAACTAGCTCCAAGGTGAAACTGAGGACAACACTTAAATGGCAGGATGATAAAAGATGTTTGCAGGTGCAGGTGTTTTGTCTAACCAGTGGTACTCAATGTTCTTTGCATATTAGGGAAATTAAAAAAAAATTGATGCTAGCCTCACAAAAGAATTAGAATTTAATTTTAAAGGATTCTAAGTGGGGCCAGAGCATTAATTACTATGCTTTAAAAAAGCCTTCCCAAATAAAAATTTCCTAGTTATTCTGAGGTATTCATATACCTGATCCATGTTTGCTAATTGCTTTTTTTCTCTTGTGAACATTAGCTGAAAAACATCAGCTGTCTGAAAGGTAGCGTGCTGTATGCCTGCAGCCTGGTACACACAGCCCTGACAAGGCAGAGTGGGGAAGCAAGCAGAAAACACATTTTTGTCAAAGGCCCAGACAGTCAAGAGGGGAGTTCTTCTCTGTGCTATGGGGAGTTCCAGAGGAAGTTACAGACGTTCCTCTCGTGAAAAGAAAGCATAGTGTGATAAATACATTTGTTAAATAAATTGCACCCAGAGTCCTCTAATTCTTGTTATATCTCAGACTCAAAAGCTAATCTTCCTTGCAAGCCCCATTTTTCTTCCCTGTTTCCTATTTTATCATGTGTTAAAAATAAAAAAAGGAAGTGCTATGAGGAAAGTTCAATTAGTGTAAATTCCTGAACCTGGCTCATTGAGGATAGTTAATGCATTTTTGACAAACGAGTTAGCAGAGGCTAAACACATAGTAAGAACTCAACACGTGGTGAATGTAATTATTATCAGTGGTGAAAGGTAATTCACGTTTTTTTCAGGGAATGATGTAATTTCATTCACATGAAAAAAAAGATGAGCCTGGATAATAGGTGGTAGGAGGGCCATCATGTGTACAGGTGGGGAGTGCTGAGAGGAGAGAACTACCTCAGAACAGTGTGTAGAGAAGTCCACTCTTGCCCAGATGGGGAAGGGACAGAAATGAGCCCAAGCAATGCCCAGATAATGATGGATATTCCCTAGAAAATCGGGGTGGCCTGAGTCTCTTTGGCTTCCACTCTGCACAGAACTGAAATGTGAAGGCAGACAATGGGAGAATATCTTGTTTTCTCTTCAGCCTTATTCAGAGTGGTGATCCCTAAAGAACTATACACAGTGGAACAAGGCAGCAATGTGACCCTGGAGTGTGACTTTTACTCTGAAGATGACCTGGATGTCGAATATATACAAGCCAGTTTGCAAAAGTTGGAAGACAACACGTCCTTGAACAGCACCACTTTGCTGCAGGAGCAGCCGCCGCTGGGCAAGGCCTTATTCTACCTCCCCCGAGTCCAGCTGAGCGACGCGGGGAAGTACCGCTGTGTGGTCATCTATAGGAGCGCCTGGGACTACAAGTACCTGACTCTGAAAGTCAAAGGTGAGTAGTTTTGGGGCCAGGAATCTGTGGAAACATCTCTCCAACAAGGACCTAAAGTGAGCTCGAGCTAAAGCTGGGAGGCTGGTTCTAAGGAGACAGAGCTATCGCAAAGAAAGGAAAAGTACCTGGTCAGTAATAACGTTTCCCATATGCATGCAAGGCCGCTGCGGTAAGGGAAATAGGAGCAGGAGTAGCAGGAATAAATGGGTCTATGGAAGCCAGCCATGAGTCCTTGAAAGGAGGGGAGGAGCCAAAGGTTGGCTGTGCCTAATTCACAGTTTGTTTGAGGAACATTGCTCGATTATTAAGCTACTCTTTGAGAACAGCTTATTCCCCCAGTCCAGAGTTATTTAAACCATGGTTTGCCATCCATTTATGAATTAAAATATTGGTTTAGTGAGTAGTAATCAGGTAGGTGCCCGCCCCGCCCCCCCTCCCCCCCCAATAAAACGAGTGAACAAAATGAGTAGAATAAAATACATCAGAGGTTGTATGTTTTGTCTGTTGCCTCACTCTGGGTCAGTCTAAAAGGCTTGAAGGGCACTACTCTAGTCCAAGCCTCATTAATTGCTGATGAACAGAAGTTCACAGAAGTGACGTGGGCAGCCTGAGAGAACCCAGGGTAACTCCGTTGGCTGGAGCATTGACCAGGTGCATCATAGATGCACCAAGGTTGCAGGTTGGTCCCCGAGTAAGGGCACATGCAGACGACAACTAGTGAATGCACAAGTGGGTAGATAACATATATCCCCCTCCCCCTTCTCTTCCCCCTCCTCCTCCCCCCTCCTCCCCTTCTTCTTCTCCCTCTCCCTCTTTCTCCCTTACCTTCTATCTTTCTCTCTAAAATCAATTTTTAAAAATAAAATAAAATGAAAGTTAAAAAAAAAAAAAAAGCTGTTCCCATTCCTCTGTGTTCAATATATATAAATTGATTTCACAGAGGAAGGGAGAGATAGAAATATCAATGATGAGAGAGAAACATCAGCTGTCTCCTGCATGCCCCCCACTGGGGACCAAGCCCACAACCCAAGCATGTGCCCTTGATAAGAATCAAACCTGGTACCCTTCACTCCATAGGCCAGCACTCTATCCACCGAGCCAAACCAGCTAGGACCTGCTTTCTATCTTTATTGCATTTCCTACATCCAGACTTAAACTGGGAGGAACTTCCAGAATATAGAAGTTAGTATGAGTTCAATTAACAGGAAGAGAGAAGACTGTACATTTCATGATCCCCGTAAGGCCCCCACGTTTGTGGGTCTCTATTTGAATGCTGTAAAGCATCTATTATTTTGGCTCAATTAGGGGTCAAACGTCCCATTTTTTCTCTGTGGCTGAGGGCTATTTTTTATTCTTGAGAAGGCACTCTGCTTGCTTCCTCACCTAGACCAGGGATGGCTCAGCTATGGAGAGATTTATTCCTTATAAATAAATTAATTAAACAATTAACTAATTAATTTCTTAACTTGTTAATGGTCTCCAAACTAGGCTATATGGGGATCACAAAGACTTTTTCTAAGGAGTGGATAGGCACAGGCAGTTTTAGGAAGTGAGTTTCTCAATCTTCGTCTTCCCCAAGTACTTTTTCCCCAAACTGATTGCGCCTGAGAATGTGCCTTCCAGGCAAGGCTCTTGGGGTTCCCCTAGAACACTTCCTCTTTTAGTATTGCTTTCTCCCACTTCAGAAAAGCCCACCTGTCACCCATCGCGAATACAGTGCATTGCCCCACAGTGCAAAAACCTCCATAGCCCTGGAAGTGGCCTTGTTCTCCACATTTTTCTTTTGATTCTGCTGATGCTGTCCCACTCTTGTCAGCCTCCGGCCCACTCTCTCCTTGAGACCGAGCACCATGCCTGCAATTAAGTTGCAGGGTTCTGATGGAGAGATATTTGAAGCTGATGTTGAAATTGCCAAACAATCTGTGACTATCAAGATCATGTTAGAAGATTTGGGAATGGATGCTGAAGGCGATGATGACACAGTTCCTCTACCAAATGTTAATGCAGCAATATTAGAAAAGGTCACTCAGTGGTGCACCCACCACAAGGATGATCTCTTCCTCCTAATGACCATGAGAACAAAGAAAAAGGAATAGATAATATCCCTGTTTGGGACCAAGAATTCCTCAGAGTTGACAATAACACTATTTGAATTTATTCTGGCTGCAAACTATTTAGACATCAAAGGTTTGCTTGATTTACATACAAGACTATTGCCAATATGATCAAGGGGAAAACCCTTGAAGAGATTCACAAGAACTTTAATCTCAAAAATGACTTTACTGAAGAAGAGGAAGGCCAGGTACGCTAAGAGAACCAGTGGTGTGAAGAGAAGTGAAAAGTTGTGTCTGACACTGTAAGGATTGTTTCAAATCGTTGCACTGCTCTGTTTATAATTGTTAATATTGGACAAACAGAAGACAAATGCAGCAGTAAATCAATTCTATTAGCAGAATATTGTCTTCATTGCATGTGTAGTGTGTACACATTCCAAATCTATGGCTGAATTTTTTCCAGTATGATCAAAAGTATCTTTTTTCTTTTCTCTGAATAAAACTGAATTGTGGGTTTTCTATAAAAAAAAATAGCAACTTCAGCAACAATAAAAACCCCTTCATAACCCTAAACAAAAGAGTAATTAGAAATATTGATAATTATCAAATTGCAATGACTAACAAATCTATTGCAGATGAGGAGATATCAAGTTCTCTGTTTTCAACAAAATTGAAGGAGACCCTAATAAATGAGCACCTGATAATAATATAATAAAAGATTATTTTTGCCATATAAACATAAGTCTTTCAAAGAATGAAATGCCTTATGTTTATCCCCACCAACTTATTTTCATGGGCAAAGAATCCCCAACAGACACAGAGCAAGTACTAAGAATTGAAGGACCACACCAACCTGAAGGCCTGGGCAAAGCATGAAGTTTTTATAGCTATAAAAAATGACAAATAGAAATAGAATTGATGTTGAATCTTGTCTCATTTCAATCACAAATCATATGCATCCTCAGATTCATGAAGAAATCAGGAAGAAAGCCTCATCCCATTAAGTGATAGATTTCCAATAAAAATTTATGTTTAATAATCATCAATATTCATATTTTTATGTTTGATTTTTTATGTACTAATAATAATGAAAATTAGATTTTAATGCAGAAGACAGCTTTGAACACTTGAAGCCTTACAATCACAAGAAAAAATATTGAATTTCAATAGCCACACGTCATGTTTGGTTTCAAAGAAACATGGAATAATCAATAAAAGACTTTTAAATATGATGCATTAGGATAAAATTCTATAGAAAAGTGGAATGGAAATGAAGGTTCAAAGATTAAAAAGAAACAAAGTAAAGCTCTGACCATTAGAGAAAAAAATTTATATGCATTTTTCAATAGATGGCAGTGTCTATAAAAAACTTTCTTCCATATCTAGATGACATTGGGTACATATGTAAGAATGAAATAATTGTTTTACTAAAAATATAAATGTTTCTAAACTTCCAAATGTCATATATTTTCCAACCTAGAAACACTAAAATCTTTAAGAATTAACTATATGAGAGGGTGCACACCGCATCACCATTTTTTTCGGAGAAATGCAAGGAAAAAAATAAGTTGAAGATCATCACCTAAGAGTATTTTATCCTGATCAGGATAAAGGAAGCAGGGAAGAACTGGAGCCCCAGTTAGGGTTTGTTTACATGAAATAGTACTAAAGGAAGGACAAGCTTTTTTCTTAAAATGTCTGACCTATGGTATAAACATTGAAAATATTTTTTGCACCTTATTTAATGTCTGGGCAACAGTTCATATTAAATATAGTGAAAAGAGAACTGATTAACTGATTTCAAAAGCAAAGGGAAAGAAATAGTAGGTAAGATGGCTGGTGAGTCCAGAAGAGACAGTAACAGAGGCTGCAGCTTCTGAAAAGCCAGGTTCTGAAAAGCAACTGCAAAAAACAGTGAAAAATCTGTCCAAGGAAGAGCAGGGAGCATGGCTGGGAAAACAGAATACAGTGGCTCTGAGAGACTGGGACAGCCCAGGAATTGAGCCCGCAGGTTGAGAACTGGCCTATGCAAAGAATCTCCAACAGACACAGAGCAAGTACTAAGAATATAAGGACCACACCAACCTGAAGGCCTGGGCAAAGCATGAAGATAAGGATGGAGAGGGCCAACACCTCTGGAATGAACTGAAGCTTATAAAAGTACCTCAAGTCAAGAAAAATGCCCCAGAAACACAGAGAGTGCAACGTTAGCAAGTGGAGGAAGGAGGCGGCATGGCTCCCATTCTTAATTACTAGAGAAATGGTCTTCACTCTAAGAAGGGAAGACAGAGGGCCTAGGGAGGAAACAGCCCGAGAGGAGCCACACGGTAGTGAAAAGACAGCAATGCTCTCTAAGCCCAGAGAAAGCATTTGCTAAAAGATCTTACTGATGGGGCTCTGATCTTGGTGTCTTTTCTCCACTGGGGAAGCAGAAGGGAATAAGGAAAGCTGGAGTCAAGGAACAATAAATTTTGAAGGAGAGGAAAAGCTTCTGTGAATTATAAACTGTTTAACCTGAGGTTCCTCTCCAGACAAATGAGAGAAATCCTAAAAAAAATTTTGTCAGTGATTATTAGAAATCTGTTGGAATTGTCTGAGGCTAGGACATGGAAACCTACTTTTTAATTTTAACCATAGTTACAGTCATTATAATGATAAAACAGATAATACTATGTTCAGCTTATATTTATTTCAGCAATGCTAGAGTTGCCAGTAATTTATAAATCATATAGTTTAAGAAAACAGAAACCACTTAAACCATTGTAGATAACCATTGGAGATTTAAATCAGGAAATCTTTTGATGGAATAGACTAAGAAGCCTACCTACGAAGCTGGCACCACCAGTGGGCTGGAGGGAAAACAGGAAGGCAGGTTGGTGGAGCATAGGGCACAGAGTCACATGACAGACCCTGGAATCCCAGTGGGCCTGTCCAAAGATAGCAGGAGCCAGGGAAGAGATGTAGCTGTTGCTGGAGAGACCAGTATAGCATAGCGCATGGGGGGAGGAATACCCTAACATTTCCCCCTCTCTCACCCTTCAAGCTTCTTATCATGTTCCTATTGGCTGTCAAGAACCTGGAATACACAGCCTGCAGGAATCAGTCTTCCTGCAGTAAAAAGCAGAGAAGAAAAATTGAGGGATGGACCTGTGGACAAACAGGACCAAGACCCACACAGCACACACCTTGTGCATAAAGTAGTAAAATGCGGGTTGAATAGTAGTAGTTACCTGTATCTATAACAGACTGAACAACTAGTAGTTGTTGAGTCAGGGGCAGCAAAGGGTGATTGATGGTCTTGGGTCAACTTAGAGATAATCTCCAAATGCCAAGGGGTCTGTTACAGAGAACCAGGCTAGGCAGTAGTTCATATATTTAACAAAATTCATCTTACGACCCTAGCCTGTTGGGCCTAAAGTATGTCCAATGCATAGGAGGTAATTAGTCACACTATACTTTGTACTGCTTAGATAACACTTGGAATATAGCTCACATTACATGGAGTGGGGGGGTGAGAAAGAAAGTGAATCCAAAAAACTGGTATCTAGCACTGGGTTTGACATCTATGTCTTCTGAGAAATGGTTGATAGAAAAAGACTTGTTTATCTACAAATGAAAAGACTATGGAGTTTCATCAGTTATCTTCAAATACTGGAAGAGTTGCTTTCTCATATGGAAGAGCTAATAATTACTAACACTAATTGAGTATTTATTATGTTTTAGACATGTAACTCATTTAATCATTCTAACACTCCTGTTAAGGATAAGAATTATTGTATTAATTTTATAAATGAAAAACCTAAAGGGTCAATAGGTTGTGTAACCAGACCTTGGCTCAAGCCTAGACAAACCTTTCAGATTCTGAAGCCTATGTTCCAACTGCTGTGCTTACCATGTGGTGTTCTGCTAAATCAGACAAGAACCAATGGTTGAAGTCACCATGAGGCAAAATTTGACTTGGCATAAGGATGCTTTTTTTTTTTTCCAATGAAAGTTGAACTTTTTATTGTCTAATGATGGCAATAACTACTTCTAGAAGAAGTAAGAGCTTCCATTCATAGATTTACTTAATGAAAAGTTAGTTATCTAGCAAGTTACTAATATTAGAAAATAAACTATTAAAAATAAAAAGACATTTCATAATGATAAAAAATGTCAACTCAACAGGAAGACATGCGTGTACATCAAACACGTAGCTTCAATATATATAAAACAAAAACTGGCAGGTATAAAAGGAGACATAAGCAAATCCACATAAGCAAATTATATTTGGAGACTTTGAATCATCTCTATCATAACTGAGAGAACAAACAAACAAACAAAAATAGAAGAATTGAACAACATAACCATCTCGACCTAATTAATATATATGAAACTTATACCCAACAACTGCAGAATGTGTTTCCAAATGCATGCATCAAGATATTTATCTTCCAAAGTTACTAAAGATATGTCTAGAGCAGAAGTTGGGTTAGTTATATTTTAAGAATACTCCCACCTCTGAAATTCTAAAATGTACTCATCTTTTCCTAAGAATAATGCCCTCAATCCAGCTTCCTCATTGTGTGCTGCTGGTAGTGATGCCATTTCAGCCACTTCCCAATGCTGTGGGAATGTCTGTAAGTTTTATAAATGTAGACGTGTTCTCCTGTCCCTTCCCTAAACTTTGCTGGTTCTTTTATTTTAACATCTCTCCCATCTCTCTCTCTCCCTCTCTCTCTCTCTCTCTTTCTCTCTCTCTCTCTCTCTCTCTCTCTCTCTCTCTCTCTCTCTCTCTCTCTCTCTCTCTTTTCTCTCTCTCTCTCTCTCTCTCTCTCTCTCTCTCTTTCTCTCTCTCTCTCTCTCTCTCTCTCTTTCTCTCTCTCTCTCTCTCTCTCTCTCTCTCTCTCTCTCTCTCTATATATATATATATATATATATATATATATATTAAAATCTTCAGGTACAAGCCTTGGCCCAGCTCCTGATTCCTCACCCTCCTAGCTCTGAAATCATCTATCAACTTGGCCATGAAGAGCAGCTTCTTACCCCAAGCTGCCCTGTGGGAACAGGCCAGACTCTCACCCACAACACACTACTCCTATAAATTCATTTATGCTCCTCCATCTCCCCCAAATACCCCAGAGCTTCAGAAATAACCTACAACGTAATAGGACAACATGACTATAAAAGAACATTATACAAAGGAGGGAAAACTGTAGATAAATAACACAAAATGAGTATTCAGAATGCATGACTGATTATTAGTATTTGGCTCTGAGATTGGTTAGTCCAGTGGTTGGCAAACTCATTAGCCAACAGAGCCAAATATCAACAGTGCAACGATTGAAATTTCTTTTGAGAGCCAAATTTTAAAACTTAAACTTCTAATGCCACTTCTTCAAAATAAACTTGCCGAACCGTGGTATTTTTTAGGGAGAGCCACACTCAAGGGGCCAAAGAACCACATGTGGCTAGCGAGCCAGTGGCTAGCGAGCCAGTTTGCCAACCACTTAGTCCTTCAGTAGGCTAGTTCTGAACCTGATTCTCCTTGTATACTAGTTCTGGGTACTCCGAAATTCCTCTTAAAAACATCCTTCCTCTATATTGCTCCATCCCTAGACATTTTCAGTTACGTAGAGAATCATCCTCTGATGATGATTCCAATACAAAATTGAGAATATAGTAGCTGTGAAGGGCATGGGTTCAAGTCTCCTCCCCCCCCAATCTATCCCTGATTCCAGCTGTTTCCTTATTTACAAATAAAAATATGAATTTTACCTACCTCACAAGGTGTAGTTTAATTGACATAATATATGTTAAGAGGAAGGAGTCAGGAATTAGAGCCACTCTCCACTATTCCTCTTTATGTTCTAAACTAAGTGAGCAATATACATAAGAATTAATACCAAAAGGAAAATGACCTTCATTTTTAAATAAGTGGATAAGCACATGATGTTCCCCTTTCCCCTCTCCTTATTCTGGGGCTTCTCTGGTAATTTATATGGGAGAATATGACTTAAAATAGAGTCCTTTTGTTTCTTGTTCCTTCATCTTATAACCTAAGACTCCAGGTTTGCAGATCAGACTCTAAGGTCACTCATCACACAAAGCATTCAACCTCTCTGGCTTCAGTTATCTCCAATAAGAATTGGGAATATCAACAATACCATTTTTGTTGTCTTGTAAAACTTAAATAACTCAATGTGTGCAAAATGTGTTCCATTTCCTGGAACAAAGGAAATATTTTTAAAAAGTAAAGGCATTATTACTTAATATTGATAATGATTATTTTCTTTACTTCATATGGTATTGGATACAAGCTCTACAGGAATCAGAAAAAAAAGACTTATTATTATTTTTTCTTCTTCTGTTGCCCAGCTTCCTACAAGAAAATAAACACTCGCATCCTTCAGGTTCCAGGGACCGATGAGATGGAGCTCACCTGCCAGGCTGAAGGGTACCCCCTGGCAGAAGTCTCCTGGCCAAACATCAGTGTTTCTGCCAACACTAGCCACATGGAGACCTCTGATGGACTTTACCAGGTCACAAGTATTCTGCGCCTAAAGCGAGTCCCTGGCAGAAACTTCACCTGTGAGTTCTGGAACGCTGATGTGAAGGAACTTACTTCAGCCATCATTGACCCTCAAGGTAAGAGCAGCTGCCCTCCCTGACTATCAGTCAGGGTTCACTCAGAATGAGTAATTTGAGGAGAGTGTAATAAAGGGACTATTTATGAACTTATGATCAGGATTGAAAGAAACTACTGAGGATAGTGAAGGACCCTGGGGCTTCAACAGTAGGGGAGCCATGACCCTATTGCAGGCGAAGGGAGCTGTGGGGAAATCACCAAGTGACAGAGCTGTGCCCTCCAGTAAGAGGATGCTGCATCTGCCAAAGGGTGCAAGTGGGTGAATAAAAATCCCAACCTCATGCTCCTCCCACACTCTGATCTCCTTCTGGTGCATCCCATTATGCTAGATCCAACTGTCCGAGAACAAGGGAATCCACTGAGCCAGTCTATAAAAATCAACCTCTCAGAGCTCAGAACAGAATGTTGAAGTGTAGATAATGGTCTGAAGAGGAAACAGAAATATCCAGCACAAAAGCTAATTACTCAGCAGGACAAATATCACTTTCCTGGCTTTGCTGCCAGATAAATGGTTTGGAGGTTTTACAAGAAAACTGGCCTCTCATAAAAAAAAAATCTTGCAGAGCTTACACTGGCTATGCTGAGTCCCATACTTTTAGAACTTCATACACTAGCAAAATCTCAAATGCTTTTTGAAGCCTGACCATTTTTTTTATATTCCAAGTAAGGACATTTATTTGACAAATAAGAGCAGCTAACATGTAGTATCGCAATCATTTCATAAGAGACAGGTCATTTATCACCAAGTACATAAGTCTCCTGGTGGTCCTGTAACAAATTACCACAAACTTTGTGAGCTTAGGACAATACAAATTTATTATTTTACACTTTTGGGAGTCAGAAGTCTCAAAAAGCCTTCACAAAGCTCAAATCAAATCAAGGAAGAAAGTATTTTCTTGTTTTTTCCCAGTTTTTAATGGCCACCTGCATTCCTTAGCTCATGGACTCTTCCTCCACTTTCAAAGCCAGCAGCTGCATTACTCAGACCTCTGCTTCTGTCATCACATCTTTTTTTTTTTTTTTTAACTCTCTTTCCTCCCCTTTCTACCTCTTAGGGACCCTTGTGACTACTGGAACTCAATAATTCAGGATACTTGACCCATTTCAAGTTCCTTAACATAATCACATCTCTAAAACCCCTTGCAATGTAGGATAACATATTCACAGGTTTCAGGGATTAGGACGTGGACATTTTTTAGGGGAGTTATTATTCTACTAGCATACAAATAAAGAATATCATCTCAGAATAAAGGACACTTCCTAGTACTGGTTAATTTGACTAGAGAAAATTAACTATGTTGTCATTATATGTCACTTCTTGTCCTTTGTCTTAGACAAAACTGAGCCTATGATAAGGGCTTGTGGGAATGCAGTTATTTATGGGTTGATCCCAGGGAGTAGAAATGAGAGGAAAGAAGGAAAAGAAGGAAAAGCAGAATAAGGATGCATTATCAAAGTTGATGTGGGTAACAGGAGCTCAAATATGCAAGGCCTTCCTGAGCAGCATACAGATGGCCTCCTAAGATATTCACTCAGAGGGCTTCGGGTGGAAGGACCAATGCATCTGCTTTCATCCCCAGTGATTGACAGTTGTCCTCAGGAGTATGAACTCCCTTCCACTGTGAGCTGAGCATGCTTGTGGTCTGAGAGAGCTCCCTCAGCATCTGTAGTGTCAGAGTCATCCCAGGACAGAAGGCAATTATCCAAGAATCACTGACCATGAAGTGAATCAAAGCCCAACCAGGATTCTACCCAATCTGTGGCTGAACTCAGGCATCAAGTTGAGAGGAAGTGAGGCGGGGCTACAACAGTCTAACTTTGTACTGTTCAAGTCCTATCATGCCGTACATTAAGTCTACTGTATGAGCCTTCAGGCAGAGAAGCAGCTACAATCTCTGCAAAAGATGTCATATGGAAAAATTGGTGGAACAAACTACTATTCCTGCAGCTGCAATTGATTCCAATTGATATTTATCATCTATCTCATCCACCATACATTCTAACATTCTAGATTTCCCACATTCAGCACTTTACATGTAATAGTTTGTTTACCTAGGGGACTTAGACTTTCAACCCTTATTGCCTTACCCTTAGTTGACTGAGTTTGCTACAATTGCCTTTTCATTGTTATTAATGGGCATGGAAGTAACCAGAATCAGAATCAGTGGATCCCTGAATTCTAGACAGTCTTTCTTGCCTCCATTATGTAACAGCTTTCAAGTTCTTTATGGTAATTAAGATCAATTACTCCACCAATATAATAATTCTTTTCTTTCCTGCTGGTCCACCAGTGGGTAGAGCTCAAGCAGATGAGATAGTAGCTATACCATTAGATACAGTAGAAATATTTCTTGGTACAACATCCCATAGTAGAAGCATTCGCCACCAGGAAGCTGGATTTTTTATCCAGGAAACCCAAAATTTGTGGAGATGAGAAGCAAAAATTCTACAAGTGGGTCACTGGAAGTAATGGTGAAAGGGACCAGCCTTCAGCATGGGGGAGCTCTGGCATAGAAGCAGCACATGCTTGAGATGAGATTGGCAGGGGGAATTGAGTCCATACCTGGGGTGGGATAGACAGAATATGAGTTGGGGGCATCAGAATTATCTGTTCCACCTCAAATTAAAGTAACATTTACCAATCAGCAAACCAGACTGAAAATTTTGAAGTGATTCAATGGACATTAATTTCCTAGTTTTTACTTCTGAGGAAAAATATCACAAAACTCCCTGATGTAGTTCTTAGAGGCATCCAGATGCACTGTTATTTCCAAGCTCCCAACTACCCCCCCAATTTCCTACCTACCTACACATCTCTATGCAGTTCCAACACTAATGTTAGCCGTAAAGAGGAATCATGCTAAGGATGTTGATAGAAACAAAGACATTACAAACATCATTTTAGGGTAGACTTTGAATGAAAATAGTTAATTAGGCAAGCTGGCTTTTCAATAATCTTTATTTCTGTTTTTATCACAGACTTGTCACCTTATGAATATCAAGCTAGAACTAATTCATACTACAGCTTTAGAAGCTTAAATACTCACAATCCCAGGGGACTTTATTTTTCCTCGACTGTCCTTTGTTATTTTCTGTTCGGTTAAGTGTAGGAAAGTACTTCAGATGGAATGTGGTTTTCTAGAAGAAAATTTATATAAGGATCTCCACAGAGAAATACAGACCTGGCTAAGATGAATTTGGAAACAACTAGAATCTGTCCTTTGCATCAGTGTTTTTTCTTCGGGTTAGAGAAGTAGAAGGGCAGACTGATCATTTCTCCGGAAGCCTTGAGGCTGTGAGAAGTTAAGAATAAAGTAAGGGGCCCCTCTCTCTCTGGGGAGCCAACACACCTGACTTAATAGTCAACTGTTGCCTGGGAGAGACCTGTGGGGCCTGCATCAAAGCCTGGGAATGCAACCAACAGGGAGATGGAGAAATCTTTGCAATTAGAAATCCTCAAGCTAGCTTTACTCATCCTCCTCAGCTTTAAATTCATCCTACTATCCCCTGACATGATCCTCTGCTCCATTCAGTTCCCCTTCCTCACCATGTACTCTCTGAACTTGCTTGACCCTCTCCCACCTCCATGACCTCTTTGCTCAGGCACTTTATTCCACATAAAATATCACTATTCACCAGTTCCAAGCCCACTCTCTCTCTAGAGCAGCTCAGGTAACTCCGGGATACAAGCAGTCTTCCCTCACCTTGCCTCCTGGACCAATTGTGCCACTTCTTTGTTTGCCTGTGACTGTACTTACCTTTTCTCTTCCATTACTATTTTATTTTCCACGTATTTTAATTATTCACGCGAGTCTTCTTTATACCCATTTAAATCAAAAACAGAGTGCTCTGTTTATAGTAAATGCTCAACCAATGTCAGATTAATGGGTTGAAGGCTTAGTCTTAGATGATCCCAGACCCGCCGTCTCAGCCTCCAGACTGTGTGGACAGTCAGTCAGAGAAGTCAAATGATGCCCTGACTTGTGGTACAAATACCAAACCACAGTCACACATCCTCCCACGGGTTCCTAGCTTCTATTTCTCAAAGGCCTTTTAAGTTGTCTTATGACTGACCCCTATCTACTCATTCTCATAAGTGGAGCTGCTGAGTACTGATTTCTGTGACCCACCACAGGTTTTTCCAGAAATCAATGAATCAAACAAAAATAGCAGTGAAATTCTCGAGGTGGGTGGTGCTCCCATGACTCTAGAATGGATGACTGAGCATCCTAACTTTCTATCAGAAATTAAGGAGCAGTGAGACATTTTCCTTTCAAAACAGAGTTTATTCTGCTCAGTCGGTAGTTGCATTTTCATTAGGAAGCATACAGTGAGACTGGAGCCCAGGTTCGTATAGCGCTGGTAAGAGAAGCCCTTCTAGGAGGCCTGGTCGTGAAGTAGTCATGCATGCAGGTTCTGAAGTCCGATGGGCTTGAGTTTCAAATTCTCTCTGCTACCCATGGCTTTGAGAACTCGAGCCACCCTAGAAGCGTCCCTTGTCTTCCTTTGTTGAATGAGGATAAATAATGGTACTACCTTACAAGGCTATTGGGACTATTAAGTGAAATATACTAATAAAGTCCCTAGCACTCTGAGAAGATGGAAACAGGAAAAGAAATGGCACCTTTTGCACGAGGCATGGCTTCCTTGTGAGTAAGGATGAAACAAATTGCTTTCCCATACAGCATCACATCATTGTTAAGTAGCATGCAAGTATTAGAAAACAGTTTAGAAGAATATGTATTAGGATATAGACTAAGAGACCTGAAAATACAGTGACTCAAACAAGACAAAAGTATATGTCTCCCTTGTGCAATATTCAGAGCAGGTAAGTAGTATATGCCATAAATTCTGTGGGCAAGGTTCTTTCCATCTTTTTCTGCCATTCTCTAGAGTGGTATCCCCCATTGAATTGTCAAGACTGGGTCACTGCCATATCCATGTTTCAGCCTCCAGAAAGGAAAAAAGAGGTACATTCAGTGTTTTAAAGCCAAAACTCAGAAGGCCCATTCTCTTGGCTTAAAATTAACTTACATGTCTGGCCACACCTATCTATAAGGGAGACTTAGAAATGTAGTCTCCAAGAAGCCACATGTCCAGCTAACACCTAGCTAACACTAGAGAAGAAAAGCAGAATGGATTAAAGGAATAAGGGACAGTCTGCCACAAGGTAACTGCTGAAAAGGAAGATAGTGGTAGGTGGACTAGGTTGATGGTTAATTCAGTCCAACAAATCCTTACTGACACCATTCATGTAGGTTGGCTTTATAGGGGATTCAGAGGTGACTTAAATAAAGTCTTTGCATTTCAAATACTTACAATCTAAGCAGACTGGATATTCAACGTTAGAAAGTCTTCAGGGACGAGTAAGCTTTTGTATTAATATGTGGAAAGGACTATGAGGGAACTGGACAGGACAAGTGTCTGTATAAAGGCCATGAGATAGGCACTTTTCCTGTTATGGGAATAGTGAGGTCCCAGTACTCCCTGACTCATGGTATTACATGCAGCAAAAGCTTAAATAGCACTTCTTAGGGGTGAAGGAGAAGGCTGTAATCAATATGGATTATGCATTGAGGGATGGTAACTAGACTTACTGTGGTGATCATTTCACAGTATGTACAAATATTGAATCATTATGTTGTACATGTCAAACCAAATGTAATGTTGTATGTCAATTATACCTCAATAAAAATGTCTGTTTTTTTTTTTTTTTTTGAAGGATGGGTTATCCAATGTATGGATGGGCCAGTCTTTCTACTTCATTTCCTCCTTAGTGTTCCACACTCTCTTAGACAGAGAATAATATCTATTGGGCCAGAGCTTTGGATCAAAGAGAGATGGGTTTGCAATTTCAGCTTAGCCACTTGCTTAGCGGTGATGACCTTAGATAGGTTATTTCTCATCTTTGAACTTTGTCAATTCTAAAATGAGGGGCTCAGATTAAAGATGTCTATACCCTTCTCAGCTAAAACTGCCTGTGGTTCTCAGGTGGCACTATGTTGGGGAGGGGAGGAAGTGGGCAGGACTGAACCTCTTCCCCTGAGCAGTGTTTCCAGGTTTTTCTGTGTTTGTTCTATATAAGTTACTCCATGTGTTTATTCTATATAAGTTACTCCATGAGGCAGACTTCAGTTTATGGAAAAGGTATAGTTTATCTTGGGTCCCCTTCCATCTCCCTGCAGTGAACCCCCACTCCAGCCCTGTCTTTGGTCAGCCTGGGCTCTCATTCTAACTTTTAGATATTCAGAGCTCTCCTTTATAAAGTTTTCTCCAGGCTCCCAAATCACTTTCTCATCCACTTCTCTACTAAACTCATCTTTTCCACAGTGTTAGGAACTTCATTAGCCATGACAAGGAAAGGGGCTAATTATTGTAATTTTCAATGACTAGATTTTGTATATGAATACTACTTATAAGATTTTATTTTTTTTTCACAGGGTCCTGTAATTCTTTGATATTTAATAATGAACACATATAGATTCTAAGCACCATGACAGGGAGACAATTTTGGACTGAGAGATTACCTTACTGGAAAGATAAAGAGAGATGATGATAATGATAGGTAAACAGGTAGGTAGATAGGTAGGTAGGTAGGTAGGTAGATACATAGATACATAGATAGAATATGATACATGTGTCAGAATGTTGCAAAGCATAGAATCTAAAACAAGACAGCCTAGATTATATCTCAGTTCTGACACTTGCTGTATAACTCTGGGAAAACTTCCTAGGTCTCACTTTCTTTACCAGTAAAATGGGGTCATAGTAGAGCCTGCCTCCTCTGGTGGTTATGAGGAGTGAATGAGCTAGTCTGCACAGGGCACATAGAAAGTACCTAGCGTGAATTAGATGCTCAATGCAAGTTGGCCATGTTCGTTATAACCCACTCAGAAGGCCAACTTGTTGATTTACCTCTGAGCTACCATGTAATTGTGGTGCTTTTCTTTCACCCAGGTGAGATGGAACCCGAGATCCCTTCAACTTGGCTGCTTCACATTATCATCCCTTCCTTCTTCATTGCTTTAATATTCATAGTTGCAATAATAATCCTAAAAAAACAACGCTGCCAAAAGCTTTCTTCAAGAAAAGGTAGGTGAGTTTTATTCACAATAACCATGTGGACTGGGGGTCTGCAGTGAAGGGCTCTGCTTTCGCCACTGGCCTCACGCTTCCTGGTTTCACACCAGATCCACTCAATGGTTATGAATTGCTTTGGGTTTGTCCCAGAAAAAAAAAATGGCTCTAGTCTTCAGTGAGCTGAAACTCTTACACTGACTATTTTAAAAGGAATATTTTGTTTCTGTGGATGAAATTGTTTGCTTTGTTCTTTGAGCCGAGAAGTGCCATCAGCCTCATGAGATTGGTGTTACTTTGGCAATGTTGGACAGCTATGTGGTCAGCATTCACTGGTGGGAAAATGCCAGGATCCTTTCTAACAACTCCTTCAGCTCTCATCTCTCCTTGCCTCATTCTGGATATGAGCTGGGCTAAGCCCTCCCCTTACCCCCAGGAATCTGAATCTCCTGGTGGGGTAAGAGGAGGAGAAAAGTGTGTGAGGTAATTTGGGGGTGGGGAAAGCACCTGTTTGGTGGTTCCCTGAGGTCTTTCAGCAGATCCTCACTCCTACTGTGCCAGCTGGGACAAGGCATGCCTGCAGCCTTAGAGCCCTGGCCTGAATATCTGCAGTCTCATCTGGTACTTCCCTTAAACTATCCCTTTGTCAGCACCCAACCAGCTCCTCCCAAGATTGAGACACAGCCTTGTCTATAGAAAAAGAAATGGCATCTGGGAGTAACTCGATAGAATTTGGGGTGATCACTATTTGAGGATTGGGTGATGTTTACGTGGCTGTTCTCTCACATTTATAATCTAACTTCTATATTCTCATCTGTCATGAAATATTATCATACTCTATTTTTGCCCATTGCCCTCTCTATGTATTAGCTTGGGTTATATCTACAAACCCCTTTAAGGTAGACTTGAAGAAACTATTGTCAAAGAAGGAAAAGGGAAGAAAGAAAAAGGGAAGAAGAGAGAAGAGAGAAGTAAAAAAGAGAGAAATAACAAAAGTGGAGGGGAAGGACGCTCCACCATAAAGAGGGAATCACAAGTTCTTGTTAGACAGAACTTTGACTAAACAGAATCATTTCTGCAAACCTGTGACCTCAGAGTTGTGGCAAAAGCAGTGCAATTCACTAGAATCTTACCTTTATACCATATTTCCAGACCTGGAGCCTGAGAACCATTTAGTCACCTCAGAAATGAGCAGCAGAGCCTTCTATCCTTATTCCCTTTTGGAGAATAAAGTGGATTTATACTCAAAGGTAGAGCAGGGAAAAAATCCTCCCCTCACCCTTCATCTCCACTCCAAAATGAGTGAGGACATCAGTAACTCCTGGGTGCAAGGCTCAAGCACCAACTGTAGTGGAAAGATTGTTACTAATAAGGGCTGAATGAATAAATTTGAAAATGATTCCTTTTTTGTTTGTTTGTTTTTAATGAAACAAAGTGAAATCATGATTGCCTATATAATAACCTCCCTAACTCTTGTGCATTGGAATATGCTTTCTTACATAGGAGATACATGGATACAAATGTAGAAATGTTGTGGCCATGCACACAAACTCATGTGTCACAAAAAAAAAAAAAAAAAAAAAAAAAAGGGTTGAGAACAGCTGATTCTGTGGATAAAGCTTTAAACCAAAGTCAGGTTAGGTATGGAGCTGGTGCTATCATTTATTGGTTCTATGGTCCTGAACGAATCACCTAACTCCTTTGAGATGATTTTTCTATCTGTAAAGTGGGTAGCGACCTGGGAATGAACATTTTGCAGTTGATTAACCCAATCTCACTGCCACTACCAAGGTTCAACCTGGACTAGGGAGAACCCTCCTCACGCATCTCCCTGCATCCACTCCCGCTGTCTCCAATATGATTGATTTTTACTTTTAGCTAGCATGGGCTTTTAATTTCTCAAATCTATCATGTCTCCCCTGTTCAGATCTCTTCCATGGCTTCACCTTGCTCACAAGGAGTTGTGACTCATGTATGCAGCTTTATATGGCACTACTATCACCTTTGTTACCCAAGCTCTAGACATAAAAGACTTTCTAGTCTTCAGAGACATCCCCCTTTCAAACCTGAGTTTCTCATATAGTATTTGCTCTTCTTAAATTACTTTATTTTTCCTTGTCCACCTGAGTTGGTGTCATTCTTAAGTCTCCACTAAGCTGTCACTTTATCAAACCTCCCTTGACTCTACCCCCTCTCTGCACCCGTTACATTAAATCCTCTTGTCAGGTGCTTGCCTAGCGCCTACTTCTACCTCCAATATACTCAGCACACAAGTACATGGGACCTATTTAAATAGCTTGAGCTAAAAATGCAATTGCATCTCTTTTCATTTTCCAATTAATTTCTCAAGCCACAGTCCTTCCCATCTTAGCAAAAAGTCCAGTGTCTCCTTCTTACAGTATGTACTTCCCCAACTCCCACAAACTGCCAGGAGGCTTACTTAGTCCACAGAGCCAATGCTGCTTCTGAGAAAGCTACTGGGGAACTAGGTCAGTTCACCAGAGATCCCTGGTTTTCAGCTACTTCTGTTTCTACTCCTGCCATGCAACATCCCTGTTCCCTCCAGGTGTCTCTATCCACTATGCAAAGGTTCCCTTGCTTGTCCAGATCCCCACACAGACCAGAGCGATGCGGGATGACAAATCTCCTGGCTCCCATCACATGTTCTGGCCTTTCTCGCAAAGCAGGACCCTCAGGGGCTGGTTGATAAGGAAGGAGGGCCTTCCTGCCTCAACCACAGCTGCGCGTAGTCAGCCTCTTCTGTTCCCGAACCTTCATCTGGGACACCAGTCCTGACTTTCTTTTCTGGAATAGTTTGTGTTCTGAACTTCTCAATCTATTGGAGAGAGTCCATTTTAGTCTCTTTCTGTCCAGAAAGCTCCTCAGCTCCTCAACACATTTATCCCCTTATGCCTCAGTGACCAGCTCTGCACACTGAGGTTTTGGAGGAGGGCAGCCGTTGTCAGTCCATAAAAGGTCCCCCCTTCTACCATTCCCCACTAAGAGGGACCATTCAACAGATCAGAGCTCCAAGGTGATATTGAAATTATTGTAAAAATAATGTCAAGTTCTGTTTCATCTGCTAATCTATAACAGGGGCTATATTTCTCTTATTCACCAATATATGTCCAGTGTCTAAAACATTACCTAGCAATACAGTTCTTCAAGAAAACTTTAACATTGAACCTACTATATGAAGGTACATAGGTTAAACTTCTCTGTAAAATATTCTAGCTACCTGTGGTTTTTAAATTTAAATGAAATAAAAGTTCAATTCTTCGATCACATTTTAAGTGCCTAGATATTTCAAGTGCTCAGTAGCCATGTGGGTCTGTATGGGACAGAGCAGATATTACTTATTTCCATTGTTGCAGAAAGCTCTATTGGACAGCATTGTGCTAGCCCCTTTGCAGTTAAATTCACAAAAACTACTTGAGGAAAGGAGTAATGTCTACATTGTAAATGAAGAAACTGAAGCTCAGGAAATATTTAAGTTATATAGCTAGGCTTGAACACAGGTCTGACTCCAAAACTTGTTGCCCTTTGTTGCAAACATGCTTAATAAAAATTGGCTCTATCTGAATACATTTTACATTATAATTATCTTTGGGCAATGAAAAAAAAAAAAGTCTCGACCCACAGTACTTGAGCAACTTGTTCATTGACTTGCTGGGCCAATGGCAAGGCCAATAAAAGAATCCAGCAAGAATTGTGATCTTTAGAGACCAGATCTCCAAAACAGGTCTCTAGATTTCTATTTCTCAAACTCTCAATGTTAAAGAACCATTTTGGGGTTTTTTCAAATTTCTAATATGTTAGAAATTGGTACTTTTATAATATGTATATATGGAAAAATTACTAATAATAAAATGGAAGAAAAAAACACAGACATAAAGCAATAAGCCAAATTCTTACAGGAGTCAATAAATATAAAATGGCATTTGAATAAATATGTTCAGAAATATAACCTAGTAAAATAATTACTATACATTTTTCTAAATGTTTACACTCCACTTCTGTACTTATCTCATTGTGGACAAATAAACATTTCACCTACCACCAAAACCGGTTTGGCTTAGTGGATAGAGCGTGAGCCTAGGGACTGAAAGGTCCCAGGTTCGATTCCGGTCAAGGGCTTGTACATTGGTTGTGGGCACATCCCCAGTAGGGGGTGTGCAAGAGGCAGCTGATTGATGACTCTCTCTCATCGATGTTTCTAACTCTCTATTCCTCTCCCTTCCTCTCTGTAAAAAAATCAATAAAATATATTTTTTAAAAAAACAAAAACATTTCACCTACTAGCACCTGCTTACAGACCACACTTTTGATGGCACTGTTTTAAAGGATCGACTAAGGACTCTCCAGGGATTTAAACCAACGGCCAAATATGCAGGTTTATGATGTATAAGGACCACCGAGAATGGGAGCACAGGCATAAGAAGGAGGCCTTCCCTGAAACTCTAACATTCCAAGGCAATCTCTCTGAGTTAATCATTGGGCTCCTTTTGAGTACAAACCCTCTTGGAGGAGACTGCATTGCTGAATTAGAGACCAAAGATGGTCATGAGATGGTTACTAAAAATCTGGTATACAGAGCAGAAACATAATTAGAGATGGACTGAATTTAGATACCCAAGCAACTATAGGAGATGGTCATCAAGCTCTGGAAGAAAATAAAAGTGGAAAGGTACATATGAAATCAGGGATTGAGAAAGATGAAACCAGAGAAACAGTGCGGAGCAGCATCCCATTATGTAAAATTTTGGCTTCTGCCCCCTGAGTTGCTTTGAACCAGTAGTAGTCATTTACACCTTTAGTGCAAATTAATTGATCAGACCTTCTGCTCTGTGTAGGGCAGAGGGAAGGAAGTGGCAGTAAAGACTAAAGTTGATTCCCTTTAAAGTATTCATTATTCTTCATTTTTGACTTTTAAAAAATATTTTCTAGTTCCATTTTTATCTCTCTGTTCAAATTATCAGGAAGATAACAATCATAATTTCATCTGCTCGTCCCCT